AAATGAAAAATATTCAAAGAGATGAAAGTAATTTTTTTATCGTAAGAACATCTTCTAGCAGATATAGACGAGATTCTTTTTAATGAGCATCTGGTGAAAGTATATTTCCCAGAGTAGAAATATAATTAGTGGTCATGAATCGGAATATTTGTGATTGGTGCAGATTTCTAGTGTTTGAAATTCAAGCATATGTACAATGTTATATAATAGATTATATGTATATATATTTTTTTTTATTCTCTCTCTCCATTTCTCGTTGTTGAACCATTTCTCTTTGGAAGAAAAACCATTTCTCTCTAAATTCAAGTATATGTGCAATATCATATAATAGATTATATGTATATATATTTTTGTTTATTCTTTCTTTCCTTTTCTCCTTGACATAAATGACTTTATGTGGGGTGAAGCATTTCCTCATAAAGTGGAACAACTTCCCCCATCGACTGGTCCAATGGTCCACTGCCGGGTAGAAATAGACGTGGGTAGATGTAGGTATTGGTCTGGACGAAGAAAATACTCACACTCATCAACTTATTCACATCCATACCCACAAATATATCCACCGCATCTACATTAGTACTCAAGTCCAAACTCACACCGACACGCACCCACACCTACACCCTGATAAATGAACATTCACACACACCTGCAAGCCCCCATACCCACCTCCACATCCTATTCAACAGCTAAATCTGTAAATATAGTCAATAGTCAAGAACATAGCTTTGTTGACTTCCTATGATTATTCATCTCACTCGATGATGTGCGATTTTATTAGAAAAAAGAAACGAATTAATTTTTCGCTGCTCTTTTTTTATTCTCATAGTCTGCTGATTGGTAATGAGAAACAACAATTGTTAAAAAGGCTTCATCAACCGTTGGCAAAAACTGTAAGTGGCTGTATGAAATTTGAAGTATGATTTCAAATATGCAGTGTTCGTTCTTTTCTGTACTTTTTCGAACAACGGGATGGTTCTTTCATGACTTCTTCAAATTTTATCGTATTATGTGCGCTCTATTTACAATATAATCTGTGGGAGAGATCATTGACAATAATCTTGAAATGCTTGTTTTTTTTAACGAAATTTTGTTTGTCTCTGTTCAAATATATCATACATCTGCTATCTCAGATTCTCTGAATCGTCACACTATTCATCATCATTCTCATGAACATTATTATTGATCGAGCATTCAAACTTCATATACCTAGCTGAATTCATATTTAGTATGTTTATCGATGCTACTTCACTAGAAATTCGCGTAAGAGTCTTCATCTTGGGTAACGGTCTCTAAACAATAATCTTTTGTTTTCCACTAAACACATTCGCATCGAACAGAATTGAAATGTAATATGAATTGCAATAAGTTTGTGTAGTGTCTTTCACAGTGTTGTACTTTCATGATGTTTTACAAACAAAAGCCAATAGCAACGTGCCTAGCATTGCAATTTCTCTGTCTCTATAATGTCCAAAAGCATCATCATACCCTACTTTTTTTCTCTTGTGTGAGATGCTGCCTTGGAAACAATCATTTGATTACCAGATTATGTTTGTCTTCTCTCTCTCTCTCTCTCTCTCTCTCTCCTTATAAAATATATAAACAGAACTTTTTCTCATTTCTTAGTAGTCTGCGAGCGCGAGAAAGGAACAACAAGTGAAAGCCTTTCATCATCAAACAAAAAGTAATGTATGTATAATAATCTGTTTTTGTTTTATAGTTACATTCGATTCATCAATACTAAGCTCCATCTCAATTTACAAAAGATTCTCTCAGTAGACTAATCATCAACGATCGTATAGAATATTACTACTCGTATCTTTACAACAATTCTTTCGTTTCAAAATTCTATAAAGCATCTATTTCACCCAGAAGGTCGAAATAGAACATTGAAAACATATAAAATGAATTCAATAGTTACTAAAATAACTATGAGTGACTTAAGCTCTCAGATTGATGATTTAGTTGAAGAATGATATTCCGCTTTCATAAGATAATTTGATCAGCAACGTCTCATGATATTAGAATAACAATGTAAGCATCAATTCCTTAGCTTGAGAAATCTCAGAAAAAGGTATAAATTCTTTCAATCGCATATTTTCTTAGAAGTAATATAAGCAACAACTCTAAGATAATCATTGTATATGGATGTTGATGTGATCCTTGGGTACACAATGAGTCCATTACCTTTAGGATTTGTGGATGTGTGAGTGTAAGGAAACTGGATTGGTGGTGTCGAGAGATGTAGTACTTCTCGAGATACTCGATAGATCAGAGTTGGCTTTTTCTTACATCAAAAGAGCACAAAATATGCATTTCATAATCGAAAAGATAATCTTTTTCAAATTGAAGATGATTAGTCATTTCAATTCATTTCTTTCAAGGTCTACAGTGATAAGACAACCCAATGTTAATGATTTGCACAATAGCTTCGGTTTGTTTTCTAACGAACAAATATTGCATCAATGGGTATCGAACGAATGCGCTAGTGACTGCTGTGGAGCCACGCACTACACCACGCTCACTGATCATCGGCTTTTGTTACGATATGATGCATGTACAATGCCGTCATGTCTGTGTGGCTGCTGGTGCCGGCGGCCTTACAACGATAAATCTATCTTTCTGCACCGAATTGCCGAGATGGATACTCACAGCTTGGAATGGTATGAAAAATTTTGGGCTTATTTCCATTTCCGTTGTCCTCAAGATGCAGTCGCTTTTAATGGTTCCTCCGGTGGTTCAGGCTTTCCTCTATGCGGTTTATTAAATAGAGGGGCAAATGCAGCTTATTTTGATTCGAGGGATAAGGCCACGGCACAAGTTGCGATTGCCACGGCGATCACCAATATGAACAAACGACATTAAACCAGGACATTAATGAACTACCATTTCAAAATTTCTAACATCGAACTTCTTCGAGTGATTTCCTTAACAAAAACATTTTATTGTGAATAAAATATTTTCTGCTTGAATAAACACTATAGACAGATTCGTAATGAGCCAATAAAAGAGTGTAGATATGTGGTTGGATGTGGACATGGGGTGTGGATGTGTTAGGCATGGGTTTGATTCAGCTATTGTGATGTGGATATAGGTGAAGTGGGATTTGAATGTGGATGTGAGGACGTGGGTACGACATGCATTCATACACTTACACGAACATCCTTCATATCGAGAAGTCACAGATGCATTGTTTACAACATGTGCTAAGAATGTCACATGACAAACTTGTCTAGTACGTCTGTTCAGTTATCTCTGATGAGTAACAGTCAATAGATCGTCCCTATTTATGTTAATTCAATTATCTTAAGCGCATATTTGAAGGTTTGATTAAGATCTTCATGATTCGATGTGGTTCGCCATGTGAAGGTTCGAGACCAGGCGAAAAATAGTTTGAGAGAATCTAAACTCTCAATCCAAAAACATAAATGAAAAGTAGAATAAATGATTGAAGGCGTTTTACAAGAAGGCTGATAATTCCATCGATAATACATGCGGAAGCGATATCTCACGATTGTTTTCCGATTCCAGTGACTTCCTTTATTAGTATGTTTGACACAGTTAGCATAGACACATTGTATATTTATTTTCACATTCTGATAATTTCATGAAATACTTGATACTCTTGATTCGTTTATGTTTGTCTCATAGTGGCTCAAATTCTCGTAACTCTCAAATGAGAAACAAGATCAACATACTGCATAATTCTAATTAACTTTCAGCTGAAATGCGAGCTGGTAACAGAGATATCCATGGCGCTGCTACCGCTGCTACTGCCACGACGGCGATGGCGATGGCGACAGCGGCAGGATTTTTAAAAAATCATCGCAGCAGCAGCAGGATTTTTTTTGAGGACATTGAAAAACTGCATGAATTTATTTCGATTTCAATTAGAAATGATTGCACAGAGCGTTTTCTACTCAAATTCGAATTTATTGTTGGAAAGAATTTAAACTCATTAAGAAAAAATGGTTTCAGAATATATTTTACTAATAAAAATTTTTGTATTGGCATCGATAATAAAAAAATTTATCTTAGAACTGGAATCAATTTTGGGTCTATGGCCAGCACAGGTGGTTCAGACGCATCAACATTATCAGGATGTATTTAGATCGACTCAATCCTGTCAGTTTTAATAGACTTCAAAAATATTTCACCCGTTTTGACACGTTACACCATAATATGTTACTTTCAAAAAAATCAGCAGTTTTTATTCAGTTCGAATCACATGGGAAATTAATGTTGTGTAGTTTAAATGTACGACTCAAAACAAAAAAAAAATAGTGCGACTTTTTTGAGATGTACTGTAAATCTAGAGTATTTATGTCATTTTATTTTATGTGCGATTTTTCTTTCTGTTTTGCACATAAAAGCTACGAAATCGATATCGGGTAATAAAAAACTTGTCAACGTTCTTTATAACAATAAAAAAAAACGAAAAATGGAAAAAAATGACTTGACTCGCCCAGCTCTGTCGTTTTGAGCATTATAATTAGTTTATGAATGAACCGGTTGAAGCTATGAATTGGGAGCATATTTTTTCAATTATAGCATATGTTTTTTATAGAATGACTACTCATTTCTTTCGTTTTATTTTATATCAATCAACAGAAAACAAACAAGTTCAATTCTAAATTCATTATGTTCTATTTGATATTTCTATTCTAATTTTATCGAATAGAATCTTATTCAAACATTTGATGAGAATTAATTTTGTATAGATATTCTCAAGTATATATTAAAACGACTTCTATCTTATCGAATCAAAAAAGAACGAAATTGAAAAGAAAAGCATCATGTGTTCTTATCTATTGTTAATCCTTAAGAGTACACCGTTTGACGAAAGATGTATATGTGTCTATGCTTACCATTGTCGTTATTCTTTTCTTTAAAGAAGATAAGATAGACGTTGAAGGACGTGTGCACAAAAGCAACAAACTTGTTTAAAACAAGATATTTATAAATCATAATATTGACGAATCACGAAAATAGCTAGCGCTATTATGAGTTCTGATAATATATTATCAATTCCTGATCTAATTGCTAAGAAACGTGATGGCTTAGAACTTAATCCAGAGGAAATACAACAATTTATAGGTGGAATTAAAACTCGTGACGTTCAAGATTGTCATGCCGGTGCTATGCTTATGGCAATGTTTCTTAAAGGTAATTTTAAAAAATTTTCATTTTATTTTCTTTTGTTTTTTTAATTTCATTTTAAAATTTTCTTATAGGCATGACTGAGGGTGAAATTTGTTCATTGACTACGTCTATGCGTGATAGTGGTGAACGTTTAAAATGGCCACAATTTCGTGGTTTAGTTGTTGATAAACATTCAACAGGTGGTATAGGTGATAAAATAAGTATTCCATTAGCACCAGCATTAGCTGCATGTCAATTAAAAGTACCAATGATGTCAGGTAGAGGTTTAGGTATAACTGGTGGTACATTAGATAAACTTGAATCAATACCTGGTTATCGAACACAATTAACAGATGAACAAATTGTTAAATTAATTTCAACAGTTGGTTGTGGAATATTTTCTCAATCACCTAAATTAAATCCAGCTGATCGTTATTTATATTCAATACGTGATGTTACAGCAACTGTATCAAGTAATGCATTAATTATATCATCAATATTATCAAAAAAAGCTGTTGAAGATCTTGATGCACTTATTCTTGATGTTAAATATGGTATATCAGCAGTGATGAAAACACCTGAACTAGCAGAAAATTTAGCTCATTCCTTATATAAAGTATCAGAAATGCTTGGAATCAGAACATATTGTTATATAACTGAAATGAATAATCCAATTGGATATTGTATTGGAAATGCCATTGAAATTCAAGAATCAATTGATCTTATGAAATATAAATCAGGTCATTCAAATGATTTAGAAGAATTAGTTTGTGAACAAGGTACATATAGAGATAGAATAAGAACAAAAAAAAATACAAAAGAATTAAGAAAATTTTTTTGATTTTTAGGTGGTCGACTTCTTTTACTTACAGATAAAGTAAAAACAATTGAACAAGGTCGAGAAATGATTCGTGAAACATTTAAAAATGGATCAGCTTTACAAAAATTTCATGATATGATTATTGGTCAAGGTGTATCAGAAACTATTGCAAAACAATTAATAAGTGATGATGAAAGTATTATTGGATCTATTTTAAAACTTGGTGATGTACATTATCAAGGTATATCATCAGATACTGGATTTATTCAATCAATTGATTCATTTAAACTTGGTACTATTGTTCAACGTCTTGGTTTGTTCATTATATAAATAATTTTTAATTTTTAATATTCAATATTCATTTTTTTTGTTAGGTGGTGGACGTTTAAAATCAACAGATAAACTTGATTATTCTGTTGGTATTCGTCTGTTAAAACATGTTGGTGATCCTATTCAACAAAATGAACCATGGGCTATATTATATGCTGATACTGATGCCACGCAACGTTATCCAAAAGTTTTAGATGATTTAACTACATCACTTATTGTTTCTTCATCATCAGTCGAACCTTTACAACGTATTTATAAAGTTATCGGATCAACATAAGTACATGAATATTATTCAATCTGTTTTCTTTTTTTTTCTATTAACATTTCATGTACACAAAAAATAATAATGATGCTTGGAAATTCAAAAAACAACAAAATAATTATGTAGATAAAACTAAAATCAAATCATTTTAGTTAATCTAACTTATTGTATTGATTTTCTTTGTTTTTTTGGGAATATTTTATCTCAATAAATAAAAAAGTTCAAAGAATATTGATGATTTAAGAAGCACTACGAGCTAATTGAAACTATTTTACAAATACTAAAAGAAAAAAAAATGTTAAAGAATAGATCATTAGTTTAGGAAATCATTATTGAAAACATATATTACACAAAATTTGGGCAATAGAAAGTACTTTAAATGGAATTTTATCAATCAATATTTGTGTATTTGGATAAGTATTTGTTACATAAAATGTATTAAGATAAACTTTTGGATTATTTGAATGAAGAAATTTTTTCCAACTTTCATTTGGAAATATACCATGACCAACAAAAGCTGATATATTTGTAGCACCATGTTGTAATAGTGCTTGGGCACATTCAATAAGAGTACCACCTGATTGTACTAAATCATCAACAATCATACAATGATAACCTTGTGGATTACCTAGAATATGAGTAATAGATATTATTTGATTCCTATCGATTCTATTTACTGTTTACCTTCTTTAACTATTGTAATACGTTTATCATTATCTTGTCGAACTTTACTACAAATAATAATTGGATAATGTGTATTATCAAATAAATAAGAAAAACGTTTATGAGCTCCATCATCTGGAAAAGCAATAGCATATTTTTCATCGTTAATTTCTTTTACTTTTAATTCATTTAATAATAATTCAACAGTTGATTCAAGTCGAACAATAATATTTGATGAAAAATAAAATTGATTTTGTAATGCATGAATATCAAAAATAACAATTTCTGATGGTCCCGTACGTGTTAATGGTATTGACGAAAGCATTTGTGCTAACGAATAAGCTGTTGCTATTTCACCTTGAATTTGTATACGTTCCATTGTACCCGTAGGAAAATAAGGTAAAAGAACTTTTAATGATCGACAAAGATATTTTGGTAGATGATAAAGAAGAGACATTTGTTCAAATATAGTAAGTGGACTATGAAATGATGCTAAGAAAAGAACATGACTATTACGAATTTGTTCTGAATTACGAATAAATATATTAGGCCATTTATCAGGAAATTCATGCCATTCAATATCACCTAATCGAATAGAATTTTTCCCACTACACGATTGAATTTCTTCAGCTAATTTATGCATTTCTGGAGCATAAAATAATATAGTTGAATATCCATCATGTTGTTTATTTCCTGTTGATTTAATTGATAATTTACTAACAGTAATTTTACTAGTCATTATCAAGATCTCCGTTAAACAAAAAAAAAGATTAAGTAAAAACAAAAAAAGCCGTATAATACGCGCGTATTTACTTTTATTTTTCTTTTGCAGCCGTCAATTGAGAATTGCTTTTGATAAGAAGCAGTTGCTATCGACCCTATCACTTTTAATAATGAACGACAAGAACTATATTTTTCTTATTATGTTCAACTCTCGAACAACCAGGAAAGAAAAAATATATAGTTAAAAATTGTTGCAAAGAAAAATTTTTCTTATGAACGATTTCAACATGAATGACTGATTTTTTGTCGGTTACAAATAAAGAATTCATGTTGAGTTTTTCCTTCTGTTATTACTTTTCTTTACATTGATGTTGTTATTATATACTTCTTCGGTGTCGATGAATGATTCATATGCACAAGAATGTGACCAAGGGGGTTGTGGGAGTGCGCACACTCCACTTCTAGAAAATTTCAAGCTTTTTTTGAACCAAAGTCGAATTTTTTATTAAAAAAAAAATGATCGTAAAATGAAAAAAGAGAGTTTAGCACTACTTCCAACTTTAAAAAATTGTACATGCACCTTTTCAACTCAAAACATTGGCTTATAGTCCTCCTCCAAACTTTTTTTCTTTTCGTCACAATAAAAGTAATTATGAAATTAATAAAACAACGGACGGAAAAATAAAATCTGGAAATGAAAACAAAAGAAAGGAAGAAATAAACAACATTATAAATAGTTCTTTTATCTCTATGAACTCTTTCGTTCTGACTTGGTTTTTTCCAAGTGAATTGTTAGGATGACTAATCTTATGTATATAAAAATCTGTTATTATTTTTTTTTAAATTATTCTTCATTTGCAGCATCTAAAGGGTAAGTATAAAATAAAAGTAAATAAACAGAAGATATAAATAAAAGAGAACTTTTATGGCCCCATTATCAGATTGATGAAAGTTACATCAAATTGATATACATCGGTGAAACCTTATTTAATAAAGCAAGAACTCAACTAAACAATGGCACATCTCACATTTTTATATAAACAACGCGATGCTTTATCGCTGCAATCCAAATTCAGAATGTTAGAACTACGTTTTACAGAAATACCAAGTAAAAATTGTTTATATGTCATACCGGGATTAGTATCTCGTTCATTTGAATTTTTAAATGAAGAACAAGCTAGCATGTTTCAGTCATTGTTTGATAGTAAGTTTTGTTTTATATCTTATTTATTTATTCTATATTTATTTGATATGTTTATATAGATTTACCGGTATGGATTCATCAGCGATCAAAATCAGTTGAAGAATTACAATTAAAAGTTGATAAATGTTCTAATTTAATGGAAATATCATTTGGTTATTTGGCATCAACGACAATTTATTTTTGGAATCAAAATATTCAAAAAAATGCAATGTTAAAATGCAAAACAAATACTAGTCAGAAATATTTAGCTATTACATACGGAGCTAATGTGGCAATTGAATTAAGACTTAATCAAGTTTGTCTAAATAAATATTTTATAATTTCATACGACAACATTGGAAATTACACAATGATTTTGCTTCTGAAAGCAGCGCCACGTTGTTATCGTATTTCTCAACGTCAGACAAATCAATATTATAAGCGCGACCTTAGTTTTGGAATCATAAATGAATCATGTTTAGCAAATAGTTCTGCTTTATATTTAAAATTTTGCGAGCACGATTCATTAGTAGCCATCGCAGAGTTTTTGATTAATGTAATAAAATTAGATTGTCATAAAGGCTGTATTAATTGCATTAAAATGTCAACTCAAACATTGCATTTCGACTGTATTTTATCAGATTTTTGGTCAAATTATGCTTTTCAAATGCTATTAACATTAGGATATCGAATTAAAAATCAAATAACCTCAGATACTCTTGATAAAATTATTCAGTTATCAAATTTATCAAACGGTCAAAAATATCCAAATCATCAATGTTATTTAAAATTAACGGCTATTTATTATCGAGCTCGATATGATCGACTTTTTGATATCAACCAAGAGTTTGACAATGTTCAACTAATACCATCAAATATTGTCTTGGATAAATGGGAATATGTACCTCGAATATATTTAACACCATATGGTGTATATCCTTTACCTATTAAACCAATGCGAGGAAATAGAATTTTACGTGAACGAAGCCTGTTTGGTCCTGGTGAAAACTTCTGTCGTGTTATCATTCGAGATGTCGATCTTGGACAGCCGCAATTCGATTTTATGCAAACAAATGAACAATGGGTTAAAGATTTAATACTAGCAACAAATCATATTATAGTTGGAGATCAAATGTTTCAATTTTTACTTTGTTCAAATAGTCAATTGCGTGATAGAAGTTTTTGGTTCCATGCTTCTTATCATAATTATCAAGCAGCACATATACGAGCATGGATGGGCGATTTTTCAGATGAAAAATGTATTGGAACACGTATTGCCAGAATGGCATTGTCATTAACTGGCACAACTGCAACTATAAAAGTAAATAAAAAGAATATCATATTTTCTAATTTGCAATTTAAGAACGTAAATTATTTTTATTTTTAGCTTTTATCTCATCAAATTGAAAGGATTGATGATAAATTTGATGATCAAGGTCGGATTTTTACTGATGGAGCTGGTAAAATTTCTCCAATGGCATTAGCAGAAGTTAGTTAATGTATTTCTTTGTTAAATAAATTTATGCTGATATCTATTTTTATAATTAATTAGGGATTAAAAGTTTATAATCCCGATCTGATCGAAGATAATTATATGCCATGTGTAATACAAGCTCGATTGAATGGCATCAAAGGAATATTTGTATTAGCTTCTGATTTAAATGATAGAGGTGTATTGATTCAATATCGCCCCAGTCAACACAAATTTAAGGTGACTCATAATGTATTGGAAATTGTTAAACATTCTAGTTCCGGTGAGAAGAATTTTCGAAAAAAAAAAACTAGATTTGAAATTCATATTTAATAGGGATGGCATTTTTAAATCGACAAGTGATTGTATTACTTGAAAATATGGGAGTAACTAAGAATATATTTCTAAAATTACAAAATAAAGCAAGACTAAAAATATCAATGTCATTATTGGCTAATAAAACAGCTCAACATACACTTGAACAAAGTGTTCGATTTTATGATTGGGAACGAATGCATAAATCAGGTGTTCAATTAACTCGAGAACCATTTGTACGTTCACTATTACTTTTACTGGCTCAAGAAAGGTAATATATAGTATGTTAAATTAGTATATCAGAAATATGTTTTCTTTTCCATAGAGTAAAACGATTGAAAGAAAAATCACATGTTCAAATTCCACTTTCCGACGGACGAATGTTACTTGGTGTTGTAGATGAAACGAATTCTCTTCAATATGGTCAAGTATTTATTCAACTTCGTGATCTAAATGGTCATTGTCAAATAATAAAAGATAGAAAAATTCTCATTACAAAAAATCCGGCGCATTTTCCCGGTGATATACGAAAGTTAGACGCTGTTGATTGTCCAGCTCTCCATCATCTATACGAATGTGTTGTCTTTCCTGCTCAAGGACAACGTCCTCATCCAAATGAAATAAGTGGTAGTGATACAGATGGTGATGAAGTAAGTTATTCTTTTCTATATTTGTATACATATATATATATATTCCTAATTTACTAAGTATTGGACATGTTGGGAAGAGAATCTCGTCAAGAGTGCTACAATACAACATCCACCAGCTACATTCGATTCAACTAAGAAAGTAGCACATAATGGTGAAATTACAATGATAGAAATTGCTGATTTCCTTTTCAAATATTTAAGTTCAGATTCGTTAGGTGTTTTATCTAACCGCCATCTAGCTTGCTGTGCTCGATATGGACCTAGTCATGAAGATTCATGTCGTTTAGCACAAACCATTTCTGAAGCAGTTGATTTTCCAAAAACTGGAGTACTTCCAAAATATCCAAAAGATATAACGATTAATCAATATCCTGATTTTATGGAAAATAAATATAAAGAATCATTTGAATCAGATACAAGTATTGGATTTATGTATCGAGATATCAAACAAGTTTGTGAAATTCATTTAGCAGTACAAGATAAATTAAACGATCAAAAGATTAATATTGATAACAATTTTTTAATAAATGGCTATGAGAAATATATTAATCAAGCTAAAATTGAATATGAATATTATTCTTCAAGAATAAATACAATTTTATCAACTTATAATTTAGAAAATGAATATGAATTAATTACAGGATGCCATTCTTGTATGGAAGAAGAAAAGAAAAACAATGATTCAGTCGAAACTGCATTATTAGAATTTCGACATCTTAATCAAGAAATGAGAATTAAATTTGCAAGTGATAAATTAAAGTAAAGAAAATTTTTATTCGTTTTAATTATTTTAATTCTTCTTGTTTGTTTTAGTCATAGAGAACAATTACGTAAAACTAGTGCATGGTACTATGTTGCATATACAACAGGTACTATACTTAGTTTTGGTTGGATAATGAATCATTTTATGAGTGATATCATTAAACAAAAACAAATACTTCAAGAAGAACACCAAGCGTTGAAACGTATTGGTAAAGCAATAACTATGGGTGGTTATGAAATGCATATACGACAAAAGGCTCATTTATACAATGTGGAAAATGGAGAATATGAAAATGTCTCGAACGCAGAAAGATTGGGCTTCCAACTTTTGAAAATTATTGATCATTGCAATCAATCTACGAATAAGCAAAAAATCGCACATAGCTTTTTAATTTTCTTGCATAAAATTGCCTTAGATATTTTATGAATAATTTATTTACCCGTGTACATAGTAGTCATATATTAATCAAGAGAGTGTAGAGTGATTATCAAAACAATTTTTTTTTTGAGATTTATTGAACCAGTGCTTCAATAGTATATGATACATTCCAACAAAACCTAAAAGAACAAACCTTCATCCTTATCTTTTCATGTAATGTTAAAACAGATAGATGCCGAGCTTTATAATCACATTTCAAAAAATCTCAAAAAAAAAATGTCTTGAGAGTTTTTAGTAAATATAAACCTGATATTTTCTTTTATTTATGATGTTTTCACCATTTTTACTAATTTTATAATAAAATATTTATTGCTGAGTCTGATTATATCATTTATAATGTATTTTGATATGAAGCAAGAATTATAACTCTATAGCATTGATTCATAATTCAAATCGATTTCACTTCAAGGTTGAGAAATGCTTGTATAAACAACATTGCCTCTGTATCATTGAATAAATGTGAACTGTGAGTACAACTGATTTATCAACTCAAATAAATATAGTTGATAATGGAAGAAAAAATGTTGTCCTTACTTTATATTCATTTAATCACACTTTTTACGAAAAACATAATTAACTTCACATTAAATCATCCATCTCTCTCCTACTTACAAGCTATAATATATCCATATACGCTTACATTCAATTCATTCTATATTCTAAAGTGCCAAACACTACAGATCATATATCGAATCTAAATAGTACGTGAATTAATATTTGTTGTTCCGTAAGTCATGTTTTTTTTTATAAATAGTTTTTAATAAATCTTGCTTATCCATGGAAAATAATAAAAATTTTAAAAGAAGATTTTGTTTTCGTTATCGTTGGACAATTCTTATTCTTACATTTATTTTGATATCAGTTTTCATATTGATTACAATCTTTGTTGTTCAAGCTAAACATAATTCACAATCATTGGTTTTTAATCATACATTGAATACAACAATTGTTAGTCAAGAATATAATGTCAGTTATACAAAAAAAAAATCTTCTTGAAAACTTTGATGAAGTTTTTCTTATTTAAAATAGATTTCAGTAAAAGGTTTACTAACAATTGATACAGCTACGAAAGCAAATATTTGTGATAGAAACCAAACAATTGAAGATTGTGTTCTTATTTATAATGCAAAACTTTTTATGAATGTACTTTTATTGGTTAGCAAATATTTTCTTTTTATATTAGATGAATTTCGTTTATTTTTGTTTTTTAACTTTAGATATCTTCACCAACATCAAATCATTCTTCAATATCTTTTATTTTTCCGGAAAATTCTACAAAAAGTACTGTTGATTGCAAAGTATTACGAATTCGTCGAAATCAATTATCAGAAATTTTCGAGCCTGTGTATGTATCAACATTTACGCATGACTGTTGTTTTTTCAAACATAAAATAAATTCTATTTAGTACTCTCGAAACAATCTTTAAACTTTCTGGTATTCGATATTCATCAATTGATTATACAACTTTATCTTATCAAGCACAACCACGTTCACAAATTGATGGTCGATCTATAAAAAATAGATGGAGTACATCAATTAATTATTATATTAGTCAAACAACTGACTTTACTTCGTCAATGATTGCTAATAGTAAAATGAAAAACAAAAAAAAGATTGTTATCTTCTTTTTACAAATTTCTTTTTTTTAGTTCGTATTGCTATTTCAAATTGGGAAACAAATACATGTCTAAAATTTAATGAATTATCTGTTATAACACCAACGACAAATAAATCTTATGTTTTATTTGAACGTGATGATGAATATGGATGTTCAAGTCCAGTTGGTTATGATGCAAATGATCCAACATCAGTCATACTTATTTCATCACAATGTGGTGCTGTAAGTGATATTGTTGCTTGATGAAGAGATCAATTAAAGAACTGGTCGATCAGTAATTAGTAGATTGAAGAGAACTAATCAGACATAAATAGTATTAGACAACAACTAGAATAGAAACGATTCTAGTTATCTTACTCAACTGAACAATAAAATATGGATGACAGCATCAGCACCTTACAAAACTTATTTTTTTGGGATATATTAAGTAAATTCTGCTATCTTTTACTGTTTCGAAATTTATTAGCACTTGAGGTTTTGGATGTCTTGTATAATAAATCTGCTGAAAGATTACTATATTCGGAATAGATCCTGTAGAGTATAATTATTCGATATTATTTAGCAGAATTTATAACAGGGATCTTTTTATGACATATCAATCAAAATAAAGTCGTGAGTGATAAAAAAGAAAAGAGTGAACTGAATAAGAATCCAAATCGTAGATGTGTGAACTGAGAAGATATCGTTCAAATGACTGAGGCATAAGATGTTGTTAGTTAGTTGATATAAATCAATCCTGTTTTATTTACAATGTATCCGCTGGAAAAAGAATCAATCTGTCGAGGGATCAATTCATGTTAGAGAGTTAGGTACAGAGGAATACCAATCGATATATATATATATATTTCGAATAGATCTGCTTAGGAATTATTTGATATTAAGGAGTTTGTATGACAACCGTGTGATACAATAATATTTTCAGAATAAATCTACTGAATAAAAAAATGAATCCAATGATAAATTAATTTACATTGATATGTATATAGCTAGATTCTATAAAAGATATCGTACTTCCATAATACACGATGTAGAAAAAGAATATCTAAGGACTTTAAAAAGATTCAATAAATTCTAAAAAAGTAGGTCTCGATAGCTTCTCGAATGCCGTGCCCCTCGCGAGCACCAGAAAAACTGATTTTCGGAATTTTAATTTTAAGCTCTGTATAGAGACAGACCTTTACGAGAGTAGTTTATTATGAAAGTTTTATATCTTTCTATTTGCTTCTATCCTGAAATACGAGTATCAAATCTGCCGATTTATATGAGCAATGTAAAAGACACGCTATTACCATATTTGTGTTTTAGGTAGAACCTATCAAGTTCAAAATTTTCAGAGCCGAATTCGTACATGGTTGAGTCCGGAACCAACCTGTCGAGCTCTGATCTTAGGGTAGGAGCAGCGATAAGATCTAAAAATTTCGCAAAAAACCTATTCTCGTTAAGGCCTGCCTCTATGCAAAGTTTCAAGGTAAAATTCGAAAAATCAGATTTTTTGTTTACCACCGTATTCATAGCTTATTTGGGCTTACATGACGCATGTAATCTTGACTCAAAAGTGATTTATTAAGTGAAGGACTTCTCTCGTGAGACAAATTTAGTTTCGGCTGAATGATTACTACTATTTTCATCGATATCAATTGTAATAATTATTCTATTCGTAAAATAGAATACAAAAATACTTTTTCTTAATAAATTTGCAGCTAATTTTATATGAAATAATATGTTTTCGTATAGATCATTGGTTCAATAATGCATGAAATTGGACATACACTTGGTTATATTCATACACAATCACGAATCGATCGTAATTCTTTTGTATCAGTTGTAACATCAAATATGAATCAAGACTATGCCGCAAATTTTTTTATTTGGGTATTTGGTACACTAAGATTTGCCGATGTCACTTTTCCTTATGATTATGGTTCATTTATGCATTATGATTCATATGGATTTTCAAATAATAATAAACCAACAATAATTCCATATGACAAACGATATGAGAAAACAATGGGACAAAGAGAAAAAGCAGCATTTTATGATTATAAACAAATCAATAGACTTTATTGTACACGAACAGGTATAAAAAAAAAATAATTTTTTTTTCTTCATAAAATTCAAACTCGATTTGTTTCTATTATTAAAGATTGTCCACAAATGTTTAATAATAATGATTGTCAGAATAATGGTTATCTTGATTCAAAAACATGTTCATATTGTATATGCCCTGAAGGTTTTTCTGGCACTTATTGTGATCAAAGAGATTCAAATAGTAATTGTGGAGACACAATTATTAATTCAAATCCATATTTATCTAAACAAATAACTATTCAAAATCCCTCACCGACTTATACAATACCAACACAACAATATTGTGTTTATCTTATTCGAGTAATTGAAATTTATTTTATTTTTCATTTGATTATGGTTTTTGTTTTTTGAAGTCTCTTTCACCAAGAAAGATTCGTTTTCGGTTAGATTCAATTAATACTGTACAACGTGCAGTATGCGGTTTAACATCATCAATTGAAGTTAAATATCGACAGGATCTTGGTTTGACTGGTGCTCGGTTTGTATTGTTTAATATTTTTTTTTTTTTCGATATAACAAAAATAAAATGTTCACTTTCTTTTTTTTACAGATGGTGTGGAAATACTATAACATCTGATTGGTTAAATGTTACAGCAGAAACAAATACAATGATAGTTATATTTCGAGCCACCAATTCAATTGATATTACAACTGGAAATCCAAAAGCTAGTTTTCGTGCTACTATCTTCTTTGGTATGTTTAAGTTAAAATGAATTTTCACTTTTAAAATATAACTGTTAGCATATTTGTTTTGTATTCGTCAAGATTTTTGAGACAAACAAAAAAAAACAAAAGCTAGAAAACTTTCTTCTCTATAAAAGGATGCAGATCTATTGATGAAAAACCATGAAATGAAAAGAAATTCATAAATTGGTACTACTCGATCGTAGTATAAATTCATGTTGATCATCAAGTTTAGAGATGATTATTGAACAGTTTATGAATAGTTTCTGTTCAGTTGTGTTAATAAAAATCTTCAGTAAAACTGACTTTATTGTTCAACATGAATTCGTAAGCTGAAAAACTCGAATTCGTACAAATAATTCAATTACAATGCTTATATAATATATTGAATGGAACAAAAAACTTCATTCGTTACCTAAACTAAATTATTTTTATTTTCCAAAAGGAAACACGCAGCACGTATTTAACAAAAAAATTGTCATTGGGATCGTGTCAGAAATGATGTTCGATCAGAAAGTAAAACGATTGATATTTAGTAGAGAGGTTAACACATGGATATCAATGAAAATCTAATTTTCTCATAAAAATTATTTTCATATTGACAAATATCAAAGCAAATAAGAGTTCAATTGATTTGATTCTACAGTATTCACGATCCAGAAATTATCAATTCAAGGAAAATGAAAAGTGTGAGTATGTGGATATGAATTTAATTGAGTTAAGTGAAGGGAAGACAATTATTGATAATCATAACTGCAGCCACATCCATCATTGAATTCTTTGATTTCTATGGTAGTCTGTAAAGTCAATGTCATCGACTCATGAATGTATTTTGAATTCCTTGATTTTTCTTGAATTGCTGATTTTTGGATCATGGATATAACGCTTGCTTTGTTAGTCATAGTTGCAAAAGTTTAAAAATATAGTCATTATGAAAATTTGATTCATCGTCTTCTTGTTCTTCAAAAATATTATTTTTCTCATAATCCAAAAGATGTTACACGCCGATGCTGTTGTAATTGTATTCGTAATTTGAGACGGACGATTCCGATTCCAATACTAAAAAATGTCAATTTTCTCTATGATTAGTTTGAATATATCTTTGTTTATTTTTCATAACAGATGCTGAAACAATGCCTGTTGTAAATCTGACAACAATTACAACAACAACAACAACAACAACAACAACTACTACTATTAGTAGTACAATATTAACAACTCGAACTACTAATAGTCTAACGACGACTGGGACAACCTTGTCGACATGTCCTCCATCATCATTTCGTTGTCAAATACCATCACAACCGACATGTGGTGGATGTCCAAATCATCAACCTTGTATCGTTGAAGGTTATTCATTAAATAAATTAATCTAACATTGATTATTAATTCTTCTCTGTATAGGTACTCAACCATGTGTTGCATATACATATCAAGTTCAATTAACTGATTGTAATCAAATAGTAAATGGTACTGCTCAATGTCGATACCAGTTAGTATAATAAAATAATGATTAAAATACATAGAAAAATTTATTTTTCCTAGATTTATTCAAACACCATATACAACCAGTTGTCCACGTACTGTTCTTCTTTGTTGTCCAAATTATCAACTTATTTCAATTCAAACATATTATGTTTGTATATACAATCCTCAAGCAAACAATCTTTCTAGTGACTGGTCGCGTATTATCTAAATATCTTCTGTCCTCTATCGTATAAACTTTTCTATATATTCATTTGTTTTATTTTATCCAATAAAACTAAAAAGGCAGTTGTCATTCTGTCATGGTAAAAGTATAAGAAAAAAAAAAAGAGGAAGGCGCTACATATAGTTTTCTTTAAAGATAGGAATATATTAACAATGAGTAATGCAATATTAACAGAAATATCTAATGAAAATAATAATCAAGTAGAAAAAGAAGAGATAAAGGATAAATCTGAACAAAAATCAATTAATTCAATTGTACCTGATCTTGATGATGTACAATCATTTTGTGCTGAATTTCATATAAAAGTTGAAAATGCAGCTGGTATTCGTCCATGGCTACAATTTAGTGATACAAATTTTCCGGGTAATTAAAAAGAAAACCTTCTTATTTTTTGGTTTTCTCAATAAAATTCTCTATTACAGAAGAAGTTTTAAAACAATTTGAAGAAAATGAATTTGATATGCCAACACCAATTCAATCAATAGCATGGCCTATTCTTACTCAAAATCGAGATCTTGTTGGAATTGCAAGTACAGGAAGTGGAAAAACACTTGCTGTAAGTTATACAAATGGATAAAAAAAAAAAAAAGAAAAATTTCTTCATATTTAAAATTTAGTTTATTCTTCCACTTGTATTTCATATACGAAAACAACCACCATTACAACCAGATGATGGCCCTATTGCTATTGTTTTAGCACCAACACGAGAATTAGTCCAACAAATTCATAATGTTGCACAACCATATTTTAATATATTTGGAATAAAATCCTTATGTATTATTGGTGGTGATGAAAGAGAAAAACAAATAAATGAAATTGGCGATGGAAAAGAAGTTTATATATGTACACCAGGAAGATTAGAAGATTTTTTAGAATCAAAAATAACAACACTTTATCGTGTAACATTTATTGTACTTGATGAAGCTGATAAAATGCTTGATTTAGGTTTTGAAACACAAGTTAGAAATATTCTCGCTGATTTTAAAACACCAAAATCTTCAAAGTAAGAAAAACATACTTCTAAAGTATTGAAAAGTATAGAAATGTTTATAAGAAGATGAGACAGTTTTTGTTATCTTAAACTATTTATTAAAAAGTAATAATAAAGAAAATAAATGGCATCAAATATATCGTTGTCAGTTAGAAAAAGACAGAAATATATGTCATAAAAACTCTTTTATTTAAGTTTTTCTATTTCTTATCAATCATCGATTCAACTCGTATATCACTTTTATATTACCTGTTTTATTAACATGTACCGATATTAGTATTTATTTCTGTTAGATATACGGTATGATTCTTTTATTTTTATCGTAGTTGAAATAACGTTAAATTTTTCTCTGTCAATATGTTAGTGCAAAAAATAATAATAATAGCAAAGACAGGATTGGTAGTTTTGTCTTCTACTATAAGTCCTGTTTACATTATCTTATTAATGAAAATCTATAGTATAAAGAGAAACTGACGATATTTTCCTTTTATCTCTTGAATAAAAGACATCCCCAAAACTATATAGGAGCAAATATATATGTTGAGAAGTACGAAAGTATGCTTTTTCCATCTTGGATTAAAATGTAAACCATGATATAGCTGCTGTTATCAATTACAGGAAGATTGTTTCATTCTATATATATATATATATATTGGGACACTTTTCTTCACTATCCTTTTACTTAATCCTTCAGAAATGCTATAAGACAGTAGTTCATATATTATAACGAGACCTTGTTGATATACAGTCTTCAATCGTATATCAAACAACATTTGTGACGGAGAGCAAGGACATTGCTAAGACGTCTGTAACGGTCTGTGACAGTGTTTCTGACTAGCATCTGTTACAATCTGTGAAGTTTCTGACTAGTGTCTGTCATGGGAGTAGACATGTCACAGCCCACATAAGATATTGAGGTATCGATATTGATTGATATTTGGATTGTGATATACTTAATTTTAATATTAATTCTTTTTGTTATTATTTTCTAGTGCTGATGAACAACAAACAAGACGTCAAGCACAAATTTCTATGTTTTCAGCAACATGGCCAAAATCAATAAAAGCTTTAGCTGAAGATTATTTAACAAATTATGTTCATGCGACAGTTGGTTGTTTATCAGAATCTCATGCTGTAAATTTAAATATACAACAAATAGTTGATTTTTGTCCGAATGAACAACAAAAAAAACAAAATCTTTTTCGAATACTTGATGAAGTTTGTGCTTATGCACCTGATAGAAAAACAATTATATTTGTACGTACACGAGATAAAGTTAATCGATTAAGTAAAGAACTTGAACAGAATGGTTATAAAGCATTACTTTTACATGGATCAAAAAGTCAGCAAATGAGAAATGAAGTATTAAAAGAATTTCGTGAAACATCAAATGCACTTTTACTTGCAACTGATGTTGCTTCAAGAGGTTTAGGTATTGAATTTTCTTATTTTTAAACATATGAAAAAAAATTTTGTTATATTTAATAGATGTTGATGATGTACGATTTGTAATTAATTATGATTTTCCAACATCTGATGCTGTTTATATACATAGAATTGGTCGTACAGGTCGAAGTTCTCATTGTGGTACAGCATTTACATTTTTTTCAAATGAAGATGCTAAACATGCACCAGAACTTATACATATTTTGGATGAAGCTGGTGCTGTTGTTCATCCAATTATATTACAAATTGGACGAAAAAATGGTTTTAATAAATGGGTAGCAAATGTAGGAAGTAAGTAATATTCAATAAAAACAAAAAAAAAATATATATATATATATAATTCATTTCTTTAGTTCCTCAATATCCAGTTTATAATCCCGATGAAAATTGGTCTGATGGTAATAATAATGGTCAAGATTGCTCGAATGATGATTATTATAATAATGAAGATTTACCACCGAATTTAATGAGTATTGATTTAAGTTCATTTGATCCTAGTCAATTACGATCAGTACCGGTGTCACTTTTAAATTCTGATGGACAACTTAGTGAACTTGATGTAAATACTCGAATAAAACATTTTCAAGATTATAAACAACGTTGTCAATTATTAGAACGTTTATCATCGGAATATAATGATGGAAATTATTCAAATAATCAAAATGATTATGATAATAATAATTATAATAATAATAATAGTCATAATAATAGGTAAAAATTTTTTTGTTTTTTTTTATGATAAAAAATTATTGATTTAATTTTACTTAAATGAAGATATAATGGTGGTTGGTCAAATCCTGGAAGTGAAAATCAAAATGGAAGAAATTGGAATTCAAATAATAATGAATGGCAAAATAAAAAGTTTGATTCAAATCAAAAACGTTCATGGGAAAATAATCTATCATCTGCAAATATGAATAAAAATAAACAATGGAATGAAATTAACAATAATAATAATAATAATAATAATAATAATAATAATAATGGACAAACAAATTATGATCAATGGAAATCTTCTAATCAATCACAACCTCAACAAAAACAACAGCAGCAACAGCAACAACCACCACAAGATCAACAATTATCTGATCTAGAAACTAATCCAGCTATTATATATGCTAAAGCCAGTAGTGAATATCATATACAATATAATCAATATACAACGGCATTACAACAAGCTATGCTTGCTCAACAATCTGGTACACCAATAACACCACAACAACAACAGTATTTAATTGTATGTTGTAGATTTTTAATAATAATTGAATATTTGAGGAATAAAAAAGAGAAAATTCATTCTTTAGACTTTTCAACAACAATTACAAGCTAAACAACAACAATTACAAGTTATGCAACAAGCAGCTAATCTTCAACAAGCATCAATTTTACAAGCAGCTGCACTTAATGCTGCTACACAAAATGTTTGGAATCAACAAACAAATACATCACAAAGTAATATAACAAATGATTTATCAAAATCAAATACTGATGCCCAACAAAATTGGATGCAACAATGGTTTTTCATAATTTGATTTTTTTTTTAATTATTTTATATCATTGGAATCTTTCTTAGGATTAATGCTGGTTATGATGCTTCACAAATTGCTGCATATCAACAATGGTATAGTTATTTAAACTATCGTTTTTAAAATCTACATGTGCTACTTATGCATAATCCTTCAAAGAGTTCCAAATCGACAATTTTAAGAAAAAATATATACGATTTTACCTGTCTGTTATTTTTAGTTTCTCTTTAACTCAACTATTATAATATTTTCTGATATTTTGCCGAGTTTGTCTATATTGATTTCTTCCTGAACATTCTTCAGTAGAGTTGATAGATAGAGAATATCAGCTGAAAAATATGATAATACAAGATATATAGATATTTATAATCTGATCATATCAAAGACAAAATGAAATACGTGATCAGAAAACTGTGAATCCACTTTTTTGTGGGTCCGGACATTGTTGAATTTAGATCCGAGCTTTTTTCTCATCAATATCTGACATCCCCTATGTACATGAATAAGTAAAAGATCAAGCTTTAAACTATGTGTGGTTAGTCTCATAAAAAAATCAATGTATAGTTATTTCACCTGATGTTTAATAAATTAAACGTTTTCGCTTAGTAGAAATGAGCATCATGTTAATCAAAAATGAAATTGAACAATTAAGTGATAGATGAAACTCGTCAAACCAACAGTAACATCAAAAGCTTCAGCTGTATGGAATAGTTTTAGTTGTATTGATGTAAACTAGATTAAACAAGTAGAAAGTTGTGAATGCACGGTGTTTGTGGGCTCGAGCCCAGGTCTGGAAAGATTCACAACTCTATACACGTGACATTCTTGTATTTGACCTATGACAAAATATTTAATAGTAAATTATAATCAGTTTTTGATAAAAAAAAAAAGAACATACCATACTTTCGTAATGGCAAGGATTAGAAAACTATTTGGATATGAAAAAGAAATTTAAACAAACGAATGTATCATTTTGAAAATATCTTTCTTTATCAGGTATACACAAATGCAAACAGCAGCATCATTAGCTGCTTCTGCAGCTCTGTCCCAGTCACAAAATCCATCGACTACTTACAGTGGAATGCCGGTGAGTAATAAAGAAAAGTTCGAAGTTGAATGAATTATTTTATTTTTCGTAATAATGCTAAGGAAAAAGTTGTCTTTTCTTGATATTTGGGTTCTCGATATTTTAATCATAGAAGAATTTTGATAATTAATATAGATTTTTTTGTTTTGTTGGGAAAGAAAATCAAAAGAAATGATAATTTGTTTTTTTTTGTTTTTTTCGAGTGTCGCGTCCTACTTCTTGTTTCTAGCATGGAGTAACTTGATCACACACATATATGAAGTCTTAACTTCCCAGATGAAACATTAAAATTTAATCAATGATCGATTATGTCAATGGTATATATATTTATTGGCTATTGTTGTAAGTTTCTCAGTTAAGACTAAAAAATTTTCAGATCAATTAAAATTCAGAAATAATACTAAAAAGAAAAACTTAAATAGAAAAATCAAGATTTAATTCTTTTTTTTTTTTGTAAGATTCAAAAATGTGCGATAAAGTTTTTGTTTTTTCTCGGGAAAATAATCTATTATCGTTGCGCTCGGTTGACATCGTCTATCCTCCTCATTTTACTAGTTCGATTCACAGACAAATATGTAACACATGTACGCATCTAACAATGATCAATTATTTGTCTTCGACATTGCAATACAATTGTCAGGTATCAACTCAAGTCATTCTTATATAACTCAATAAAAGAAAGAGAGTACAATTATTGATTGACTGATTGTGTTCTATTAGTTTTCCTTTCTATCTTTGTGAATAAAAAACTGTCATATCTCTTTGTTTCTTTTGATAAATTTGTATTTCGTAGAAATTGTTTAATTTTGAAGGAAATAGAAAAAAAAAGGAGATTTTCAAAAACAAAAACAGGTAAGTTCGAGATAATAAAATTTACAAAATCTATTTTCATATTTTGATATTTAAAAAGTAAAATAATCATTTTATTTTTAGTTTTCATCGAATAATAGTAATCAACAATCAGCAACGACTATATCAGCACCTCCAACTGTTTCATCATCCACAGCAAGTGCTGCTCAACGTGCTTATGCTGCATATAGCAATCGAGCATCATCATCTTGATATATAAATTGTTATTTCATTTATGTATCATTTTTTTTCTTGTCTCTTCTGGTCGCGAAAATATTTCCAACTTTTCTTGTTGTTGCAAATTTCAATGACCATTATTCTTGTCTTTGTGTGTTGCTTCTTTTTCTTTTTTTTCTATATAAAAAAAATACGAATATATGATTTGAATTGAGATCCAATTGTCATCAAATTTAGAGCAGAAGTGTACAGTAGGACGAAGAAAAAAAAAAATGGAAAACGAGAAAAGAATTTGAGCTCTTGAAAATGTCACACGCTTACATATACTCATTTAATTGCCATTGTCTACTTCGATGGTATTGTGTAAATGATGCTCTTTTTAGATGGTAAAGAATTGGAGACACAGACAAGAAAAATCCAAAAAAAAAACTCAATACAATCTAAATATAATGACAAACAACGACGATAAAAAGTGAGTGTATATATGTCTATGATAGTACATCCATGTACGTGTCTATTTCTTTCGATTTTCTTATTTATTGATATATGTATATAAAGAAAACAATCATAGGTGGGCATGAGTTAGTTATAATTGTTTTCTTAGAGATTGATTTCATATTTGTTTTGTTGACTTCTGACTTGCATGTTAAGTCGTTTTAAAAAAGAAAAAAAGTCAATGAAATTTGTCATTCAATCATCTAATATTGTTCATCGGATAACTGCAAATGTGTATATTGAAAACAAATAAATGAAATTTCTTTTTTTTTTTTTTCTAAGTGGAAAGATGATGATAGCACTCACATTCAATTAATTCCACTTGATTTCATTTTTTCTATATAGACAAAAAGAAATAAAAAGAATATTTCATGTGAAGATGTCATTATAACTACATACATTGATTTGATTTCTAGAACGAACAAATTTTTCTTTTCATTCTATTCTCTATATTATATGCGGTTAGTTAACATTGAAACGACAATGAATTATCAATAGTGTTTACACTTTCTTGATTTGCTTCTGATAATTGAATAGGGAAATTGCATGTATGTACAGATGTGATTTATTTTTGGAATATGGGGCGGAACAGTTAATAATGAACTAGAAGAAGTTGTATCTGTCAGAAGATTGAGATCGAATATATACACATTCATTTTTCTTCTTAATCATAGAGAAAGAAACAAAAAATTGATCTGGCATGCAGATATTTATTATAATTAGAAAGATGTCAATAGAAAACAACATGTATTTAACAGATTCTTGTGTATATAGAAGCAGTGCTTTATTCAGATTTTCTCTTTCGGGGAACTGATTTAAAACTCCGAAAGTATGAACACATCTATTGTTGAGAGTACAGACACATCATACATGTCACAAGAGCCACAAGCTCGACGAAGGCTAATTCGATCTTCAGACGACGCCGTTCCTAAGTCGGATAAAATGCTGGTTGAAAAATATCTGAAAAACACAATGTCTGCATTTCTAGAAGAGATAATTTATTTACTTTCATAGACAATATATCTAATCATTTTACAATACAAGATATATTATTTTAGAATAATTTCAAGTATGTACAATGAAATATAAAAATATTTCATAAGCAAAATTATTTTATTGGCAAATCGAGGATTTAGGGGAAGGGAGGTGATCATAGTTATAAAACATATTTTTAAATCAAATTAATGGACGTGTTGTGTTGAGAAAAGTATTTCGAAAGGAAAAGACGATCTCCCTCTTTCCCATCTACATCCAACACTACGTTATGTATTCCTTATGACTTTATCAATATCAATAAATAATTCTTTGAAATATAAAAGCCATTTCGATTTCATAAGAAAAGTTTATCCGATTAAATGCAGGATTGATAAAGTCGTGTAACCTAAGAAAAATTTCTACTTTCGACAAAAAATAAACGAAGATATTCCACGCATATCGTCAAAAGTTGATTCAATGATGCATATATAAATTACCTGTAATTACTTTTCTTTTTTCTTGTCTTTTTCTAACCAATGATGTTTTATTATAGATTTATTCTCTTTCTTTCTATATTTTGATTGGTGAAAGAAATAATTTTTCCAATGAGCATTATCACAGAACAGAAAAGAAAATATTGACTTATAAGATTAACAAATATATTGAACAGAGTTTTCTTCTTTTTTTTTTCAATTGATTTGTCATTTGGTTTCCAAATCATTCGAACAAACTATGGTAAGAAAAGATTAAAAAAAAAGTGAAGAAGAAAACGATCTTTAACCCTTTACGACAGGAAATATACGTTTTGAGCTGTTGTGCAGATTCTAACTTGTACGATCATCTATCTTCACTTGATCATGACAGTATTCTTTCCTTCACGTACGTAGTCAGTATCACACAGCATCATTGTGCAGTACTATGATGAATGTATATCAAGAAGAAACAAGAAAATTTTTGGATCTGAAAGTAATCGAAAGTCTATGAAAGCTCTACACTCATAGTCTTTGAGAACAACATGAAGACAAATAGAATCTCAGAGCTATTATTATTCAATGATGCTGTAGACTTTACTAAAGATCTAATGTTACAGATCTTCAGATGTTAGATTTTATGAGATCTATATTATGATATATGGGCTTTCAAAGTTTTTCATGGAATCAGGCGTAAGACTCCATAAGATTCAACGTCATTCTATTTGACTGCGTAATTCAAGAATCTTATGAAGTTTGATGCTTTTTCACGAAATTCAGTGTTTCTCATGACATATACGTCCTACTTCGGGGTTTTCAGAAAAAAAAAAAAAAAAAAGCCGTTACCAGAGGATTAAATAATAGTTCCATTAACAGGTGATCGGAAAGTTTGTGGACAATATATTTGTTCATTTTTGACGTGTTTTCGATCAGTCAAAAAGCTATGATTTTTGTACTTTTTTTCGAATATAGACTTAGAAATCTTATGTCTGTTCTTGTGGGACTTTTTGAAAGATCTGAAAAATTATTTTTAATAGCAGAGCAATAGATCTTTGTTTATCTTACAAGTTGTCTGAGTTATTCATTTTGTAGAGCAGATATTTCTCTACAATGTGTGAAGTTTTAACTTCGAATCCCAATGGTAAAAACACAAAATTTTTCTGTTCAAAGTAATTTTTTGGGCTTTGCAAAGATTATTTCACTATTCTCGAACAAAATTTCTAAGGTCCATATTTAAAACGAGTACTAAATCATAGCTTTTGACTTGTCGGACGTACGTCAAAAGCGAATAAACATCATGTCTAAAAAAATTTTCAATTACCTCGTTATTACGTGAGGTGTGATATCTTATGAAATCATATGTTTGATTATTTAACAATAATAACATCAATTCATTGATGATTTTCATTTCTTTTCGTCTCATATCATTATTTTTATTTTTCGATTTGGTCACACAAATGTTCATTCAAGCATAACAGAGAAAAAAAAACTGACCCTTTCTTTCCTATGAAATCATTGTAGTCATCATTGAGTACATACTTTCTTTTTCTTTTACTAATAAGACAAGATTCTTTGTTCTGCTTTCTTCTTTTTTTTTTTTCTATTTTACATAAGAAAGTTTTCTCTATTTAGTGTGACTTATTGATCGTATGCCGCGTGAGACTACCTGACGTGATAATCGTTCTCTATATTGTTCACTTTTTATTTGAGAGGGCGGTGTCTTTTTCTTTAACGAATAAAAACGTCGTTCAAAAAAATGAAATTAGCTGTAATTGAGAGTAAAAGTTAGAAAAAAACAGCTGGTCAATGATTATTACTTTATTCGTTAGCAATCACTATGATGAAAAAAAATAACTAGAATTCTTTTCTGTGACATTCATTTTTTTTTCCTTCTTTCCATATCTAGATTGTTCATCAAAACAGACGTTCAACAAATTCTATTCAGCAATCGTTGGTTGGAAATAGTGAAGCAACAAATAATCAACATCGATTTATTCATTCTAGAATGCAATCTATCTATGAAAATAATACTAATGAAAATTTGTTATCACAAGGTGATAATGGTAAATGATAGTGGCGTCATCAAAAGTTTGTTGCTTGTAGGGATCATGAGAGCTTAGTCTATTTGACTCCGTTTGATACAGAGCTCATTCATTCAAAATCGTGAGAATTAGCCAATTCTAGCTCTCTCTCTTGACTATGTCGCTACTTCTTCGAAGGAATTTGTTCTTTTGCATTTTCTCAGACAGAGAAGTGTCCTGAGTGGATGGGGGGGGGGGACGAAGAGTGAACCTCCACAGTCTTGAACAGCTTTAGTTCTTTCCAGTTGAATAGATAGCTTTTTGCTCCACGAGGACTCTCTTTCGAGATCACTAAAAAATTTTCCTTGGGTACGTAGCAATGTACGTTTACTACTTACGTTGAGGTACTTCATGCTTTACTGGGTGCATGGATTCACTATTGCAATAATATTATATACCAAATGATCAAATTTGTAAACATTCCTAACTGTTTGTCGTCAATTTAGTGATGAATAGTTTTCTGTGAAAATAAGAAAACCTTAGAAATTTGCCATTATGAATTGAAAAGAAGATAGAAGTGTTCCGATCGGGGGGGGGGGGGGGGAAGAAGAAGGGATGATCTTCCCTTTCCAGTCTTGAAAAATTTCCATTTTTTCCTAGTAGAGTTTCAGCATTTTATTAATTATTTTGCTCATCAATTCCCCGAAACACCCTGAATCTCTCTACAAGATTCTAGCCGGTGAGAGAAGATGTATAGATGATATAATTAATATTTAGAAGTCTATACTCAATCTTCTCATACTCATCAACATCCTTTACAAGGTCATTTTCAATATCAACATGAAATTCAATCATTTTCTCCTCAACAATCGTCAACAAGTGATATAGATGAAACATCACCCCCACCATCATCATCATCATCACTCAATAGAGTAGTATGTATTTGAGAAAAAAAAAGAATTCTTTTCTTTATTTATATATTTATTATTCTTTAGAATGATACAATAAGTAATAAAATAATTAAGAAAAAGAAACAAACAAAAAAGAAACGTAAAGATCCTAATGAACCTCAAAAGTAAATTAATATTTATTTTGATTTCTATAAATAGTATTTTATTAGGCCAGTTTCTCCATATGCATTATTCTTTCGTGATACACAAAATGATATAAAAAAGAAATTATCTAATCCATCATTTGGGTAAAATAAATTTAAAAAAAAATTAAATCTTTGATTTTCTTTTTTTTTAAAGAGAAATCTCAAAAGTTGTTGCACATATGTGGGAAAATATTGAACCAGAAATCAAAGAAGTAAATAATACAATTTTAAGTAATTTGTTTTTTCATTATAATTATTATTTTTAGCAATATAAATCTAAAGCAGCTGCAGCTAAAAAAGAATATTTAAAACAATTAGCTGCATATCGTGCTGTTCAGGTTTCAAATCAAGTAAAAATTAATTTCATTCACAAAGGAAAACTTCAATTTTTGTATTATTTATTTAGACACCAAATATGCATCATATTCTTAATCAAACATCTTTACCATTTGATTCACATAGAATTCAACATCAACAAAAACAATATTATACAGGATCTATGATAAATAATAATCATCATTCACTTCAATCATTTTGTTCATCATCACCATCATCATCTATGCAACATCAAAAACAACAACAACAACAACAACAACAACAACAATATAATCATTTTCATTATATAAATCCTTATGCTCAAGATACTTCAAATGCATATCATTCGAATCATCAAATATATTTTTCTAATCCTAGTCCTCAAACATATTCTTCATATGATTCAAATAATAATTATTCTGATTATCAACAATATGGTTTACTTCGACCAGCTATTGAATCTGAACATTATTCATCTTATTATTCTCAACCATCTATTGATAATGAACATATAAAAATAAATGAAAATTTAATACATAATTTAAATAATAATAATAATAATGTATCACATTATACAGATCTTACACCTATGACAAATGGACATATTGGAAAACATTATGATTATACGAATAATATTCATCATGGATTAAATGATAAAAAACAAGATGATCATTCATCATTATTACCGATTAGTAATGAAAATAACTTTCATTGGACTCAAACACCATGTTTAACCACACAGTGGTGATGATTCGTACATTTTCTTTCTTTCTTTCTTTCTTTTTTTTTGTTTATTAATAACAACAAAAATAATTAAATCTAATAAATTATTCAGTTTAGATATCAATAAAATAACTGTTTTAGATAGTTTTATTTGTTTATGGCTTCAATAGAATATTTAACAGATACAAATAAGTCTGATTCATTATGTTCATCAACACCGGTAATAATTCACTCGATATTTTCTTTAAAACAATTCAAATATGTTTTGTAAATTTAAAATGAATAAAAAATTCTTTTTCTTCTTTTTGTTTTTGGTTTTCGAATAATATAAAAACAAAGATTATTTTTATATTCTATTGTATATAGTCATTATCAACTGTCGTCGATAGTGCAGTATCTTCTACAACAAAATGTAAACGTGTTGGATGTGAAAATCCTTCTATTGATCATCCTGAATGGGATGGAGAATATTGTAGTGCACAATGTCTATCAGTTTTTTGCAAGTAGGAATAAAGAATGATAATTTTTATACATACATATTAATTTACATTATACAGAGAAGCATTTGAACAATGGGTAAAGAAACAACAATCGATGTCTTGAAACTTACAAATTATGCTGTTATGAAATTTTTGTACAAAGAATGATGACATTTTCGTATAATTTTTGTTTCTATGCAAATATTAAACTCATTTTTTTTCTTTATTGAAAATTAACACTGTAATTCATTGAAGTATATTGAATATTTGAAAAGATTTGTTTCTCTTTTTGAATAAAAAAAAATGAATTGGATTAAAAGTATCAATGACAATCAATTTTAAATTATACACAAAGAAAAAACAAAAGTTATTCTATTTTGTGACGGTAAGGATCATCAAATGATGATTATGAGAAAAAGTTTTGTTTTGATCATTTGATTTACTTTTTAACAAGAAAGTATAATTTGACAAAAAAAGAACTACACTTTGAAGATGTTTTATTATATTGATTGAGATTAGAACCATCAATCAGATGAACGTTAGTACGAATCCGAGAAAGATTGAATCAGAGATGGAAGCGATACCAATATGGATTTCAGACTGACAGATCGACCGGCGATTGACCGGTAAACAGTGCTGGTTGTGAAAGATTCAGATCGATTTCGTCTCTAGCTTGAACTCAACAGTACAGTATATAAAAGCATTTCATTCCAGAATGATATTATCACAATACCATACTTGTTATAATTTAGAAATGCACAAAATTTTATTGGAATTCAGTAGAAATTTTCGAATAAAAGAAAATGATATCGATTGAAACATACTGTGAAAAATTCGTCTGAACAAAACTGTTTTAACATTATCAATTCTTGTTCAATTGAAGACCTAATTTAATAGATACCTCATAAATTTTGCTTATGTTTGTTTTATAAAGTAATATTTTTCGAATATTTTTAGATATCCAAAAAAAGATATTAATTGATTTAGTTGCACGATCAATTCATATTTTGATGTGCTCTTAGGAAAGATACTAACTTTATTCCTAGTAAAAGTGAGTAAAATGTAATAAAAGAATTATGTTTTTATGAAATTAGTTTCAAATTTTCATTTGTATGAATTATGAGGCATATATATATATGTTGGCATAGAATTCTCCTGACGATCGTTACAGAGTTGAAACATATGAATAAATATGAAGAAGTCATGATTGATGGTAAAGCAATTGTTGCTTATAATAAGTTTGACATAAACTTTTTTATATTGCAATTGTTTTATTTTAATTTATATTAGAAAACAATACTCTAAAATTCCTTGAAGTCAATCAGATTTCGACCATGTCGTTGAATCTACTGGTACATTTACTAGTTAATACAGTAATCAGTTGATCAATTAAGTTCGAATTCGTGAAGCTATGATTAGATTTATACACAAGAACTATTCCAATGAAAAAACTACTCATAACTGCTAAAATCTTTTTAAGTAAGAAATAAATAGCTGTCACGAATAGTATTGTACTAAACTAGTCAATGACAAATAATTTAATTCAAGCTTTTCATTCCTCTCTGAAAACATCAGGAAGAATGATTGGTTTTTTTAATTAAAAAGTTCTAATTGTATTTATTGTTGTTATATTCTTCGTTAATTTTGATTTAAAAATTTAATCATTCCTCATGATGTTCCCAGAGAGAAACGAAAGCTTGAATTAAATGATTTGTCATTCACTGGTTTAGCACAATGCTATTCGTGACAATTACTCGCTTCTATTCTGAATCAATGTATTCTCTTATTTCTTTTTCTAAAATTTATCCAAATTATCCTTGAAAGTAATTGAACATTTTTCGATTGTAGTTGTTTAAATCTCTTTGCTTGCAAGATAATCTCCTTTCTTCTCTCTGTCTTTACTCGAATAAACTATTTGCTAACCTCTCTCTTTTACGGAGAGAATATCTTGGAGAAGTAAAGTAATAAAGATATGGAATTCTACATCTCATCGCGATTATTATTCAAAGTATGCAAAATCTCTTCATATCGGTTTCAGTCATTTGGATTATTTTCGCACGATATTTATAGATATAATGCCAACAAATATTTAAAATAATAGTAGGCTAGTTGGATAAGCTTGATATCAGAAGATAAGAAATGTCGCAGATTTATTTCTACTTTTTCTACTACAAGAATATATAGACAAATAGAATTCATGTTTATCGCGATGAAAAATATAGCTGATTTCTTTCAGTAATGTCTCACTTCTCATAGTGATTATAAGCAAAATATTGGTTACTTGATCACATATCTTACTCTATTCACCAATGATTTCTAAGATCTCTCTGTTTTTTGTGTGCGTGTGATTACTGAATAGTCTAAAACATATTCATTTTCTCGATGGGATAGCAATCAAACATATTTTTTTTATAATACACTCTGAGGCACATAGACCAGTGCATGCATACTGTTTTCATTCTTTTTTTTGTCTTTTTTATTCTCTTAACTAAAGTATGATTCGAACGTCGAGATGAATGTCAGTAAAAACATATTTATCTACACTCAAATCAACAAGAAAAATAAACTTAATAAAAACCTTATAGTAATAACAAAATGGTACAAAGTACAAGTTTTTGTTTATTGTATGACAATTTTCGATAAGGTTTCATGACATAAATAACATACGGATTGTGTATTGGTTGAATATTTCATTACATAGTATGTCATAAGGTTTGAGTTTTGAAAACAAAAAAGTTAACTTTTAGACAAAAAGATGATACCTAACAAAGATTGATGTGCAAAATATACTAAACAAGAAGTGATACAATGCCATATGCTCAATGATGATATACTATTTAAAATATCGACTTGAATATTCGACATACATACAGATGCATTCAATTAAAGATCAATCGTTTCCTATACAATTGATAATTCAGTCGACACTCAAAACTTGTTAAAAATCCGGTATATTTTTATATTATGATAAACTTTTTATTGATAAAAATTTATTTCAAATCTGTTCATAGAAGTCAATATAATTAATAATTTAATTCTCGTCTGAGATGATTGACAGAAAATGAATTTGGTGATACACCTTCCATTTTTCTGCCCATATAATAAACACTCCAATTATCTTTAGCATATCCACCAGAAAGAACCTGAAATGACATTACACTGGCACCAGGAATTTTTCTGCCGATATAATAAACACTCCAGTTGTCTTTAGCATAACCATATGTTAAAATTTGAAACGACATAGTACTTGCTCCATCAATTTTCTGACCCATATAATAAACATTAAAATTATCTTTAGTATAACCAGAATTGAAGTGATTCGTATTGCTTCCGGCTCGTTCAATTATTTCTCGTTCTTCATCATCGAAACTATCACTTGAATCATCATATAGTTCACGTTCAGCATTAAATCCTAATCCTTTTTGATTGAGTATCAAAAAACATAATAAGACAGAATATATCAAAGCCGAAGCCATTTTTATCACTAAAAAAAAATTTACAAAAAAACAAATTATTTCTAACCATTTCGTTAAAGAGAACAGAAGACATTTGTGCAGTATGTAATTTAGTCAAAAAATTATATGTTTGCAATACCATAAGTAAACTCTTCTAAAACGTTAGGAAGAACGGAGAAACAAATCAAAAACATGAATAATGAAAAATTTCCAAGTATATATACATTCTAGATTTTGTTTCAAACATAATATCGTTGGTTCTGTGAAACAACAGAATTCTTCTAGAGTAACATACATACTTCACACAAATTGCTTTTATATGTGTGTACAAAATCCTTACTTAAAGTGGACGAGAGTGATGTACATACCCTGAATAGAAATCTTTCTAACCCCGTGTAGTTTATGATTGATAACAATTGGCTTCAATGAATAATACGCATCTTTCACTAGAATTGAGCAACACTACAGATGAGAGTTGGTTGGCAAAATGTTTCACGACTAGGTTTTCTCTTTTCTTTTTGTATCTGCTAATTGTTTTATTGGTTTGGATTATTAATTTCTGTTCCAATAATGCGATATATTCTATTATACAAATACAGATAAAGTAAAACTAGTAGTAAAACATTCAGAAAATACCACAAAAAGAGATAACCTAGCCATGAAGTATTTTATCAACTAACTGATTTACAGTGTTGGGGAATTGTATTGAATAACGTACACTCTTCGTTGAAGTGGGTCGTAATCAATTATACACTACACTAGAATACAGTATTTGAATTATTCTTGTAACCACTATTCATTTGAGATCCAAGAGGTTCTATACAAAAAAAAAATGATGACGGGACGATTTTTGGCCAGGGTGTATATATATTATAAAACAGTGATTCACGAAGTTCTATTTATACTTTTTATATATGCATAGCTTTCGTTTATATTATTCTTCTGAAAGAAAAATCATATTATCAGAACTATTAAATGCATGTAAGCATAAGAAAATTATTCATCGTAAATATTCGATTCTTACTCATACCTCAATCAAATATTTACCATTTTACGTTTGGTAATCAAAAATAATAGGCATCTAATGTATTGATGGAAGACATATCAATGTGTTCTTTTTATAAATCATAAAATAAAGTATTTCAAAATAGCAATGAATACACAAATAACATTCGAATATAAATCTAGTGTCTCAAAATATTTGTATAATAGTTTATTTTATATACTTCTTAGTATAGACTTACGATAAGAACTTGAATATTTTATCACGAAAAAAAAGTGTGCTGTTAAATTCTCTACAGTTATTATAATAAAAGATTCTGTTGTCTTGTTTTAAGATAACTTAAAAAAACCAAAAACACAGATGTATGAGATACTGTAGTGTTATGATTTGGCATCTATATGAATTTAATTGTTCATCTTCTCTCTATTTATGTCGTATCACCTTTCTTTTTCTTTGTTGGTATATGTATATATGTTTGTGATGATAAACAAGTAGATTTGATTTTAAAGAAAATTAAAATAAATGATTATGTTCTTATTAAAACGAACTCATATTTATCCTTAAAATAATGTTGTAAAAAATAAAACATAGAGTGTAGATAATGATCAGATATGAATAGTTCGTATATTATTATCTTCTTATATTAAAACTGTAAATATCTTAAAAATTGAATATCTCGATCCACGTTCACTATAGACACGTAATATTTTAATTTTGCTAGATTGGTAGTGAGCTTGATAATTTGACTCTAGCATGATCAATCTTTTCATATAATAGTATAAAAAAGTTTTATTATTATATGACGATTTATGCATAGAAAAAAACCAACACAATTAAACATATAAGCAAATTCGACCGCACAATTAAACTAGAATGGAGTAAAGGAATTACGTTTTATGGCATTTACAGCTTTGTTTTTCTACAAATTTTTATTTTTTTTCTGACATAACTTGGAGTTTTTTCAAAAAAGTTTTCAATGAAGTCTTAAAATGGGGCTGAAATGTAAAAGCTATGTGAGAATTCGGTTCTAAGAAAGTACAAATAAATGAATTTTGAATTTTCAAATTTCTTTTGGATATTTGAACTTAATAACTTGTTTTATTTTATTGTGAACGATGATTGTTTATTCTCGGATTACATAAGTATATTTTAATACTAATATTAAAAAATAAATGTTTAAATTAATATTTATTCAAATAAAATTATTTCAATGAGGAATGGTGTCTGAAAGGAGAGGAGCAGACAATTTTGGAATGCAAACTTATACTCAATATTTTCATAGGGAGTTGCACAAAATAAAGCCAGCAAATGAATCTATTAAAACACTCATATTTCATAGCCTGACTATTGTTATGTTTGCTCCATTTTATGAGAAAGTTTGCCAAAAAAAAAACTGATGTTCCATGAATTGGTTTTTTTTACAAAAACATTCTACGATTACGTAGACAGATCGAACTTGATGTTACTAATTTTCTTCGTCATCACACTCACTGGCTATTAAGTACCATTAGAAAAAGAAGACTTGACTGCTCTAGAATATCGCTTTCGAATTGACTTGAGGGTTCGATATGATATCACTTGTCGTATATCGACTAACACGTTCATAGAAAAACAGACATCAATGAACAACACTTTTTAATACAGATCACATTATCCAACTAATGCATCAGTTTTTGCCTTTATAATTGTATAACGTAGATTTAAAGCACTTTACCATATGGATGAATATGTAATCGAACAGTGCGGAGCAAATTGTATTGTAATTTTTCATTCAAAATCCTGTGAAGAAATAGAATGTCAGAACTACTCATATTGCGTTCTAGCCAAAATAATACAAGATCACAAAATTGATTCGTTCAGTTTGATGAGCTTTCGCGAATCGCGAAACGTTTTTTGTACAGTAGCCATATCTATTAGTGAGATCAAGCGAATTAAGACAAGCATAAACTTATTATTTATTGAAAACAAATATGTCACAATAAACAAAAGTAAAAGTAAGATTTGCTTAGCTAAAAATATCTCAATTCTTCCTGATTAATCCCTTGCCAAGATATGTCTTCTGAAACTCTTCTTCATATGTATTCGATGGCATCACATAGAGAAGAAATCTTCATATCTGTGGTAAATAATATAAGAAATATGTTATTAATAATTTACACTTCTGTCATTCTCCGTTCAGTTCACCACAAGCATAGATAAATGAAAAGATTACTTGTGGTACAAAACAGACAATGATAATAATTGATGTAAGATAATGTTCTTTATACATTTGAAATGTATTTTTATCGTTTTCCTTCACTGTTTGTATACGATTACGTGCTGTTCAAATGATGAGAACAATAGTTAAAAGAAATTGTGCGAGAAATGGAATGCAATAGTGAATGAGAACATTGACACAATTGCATAGGGGATAAGTTGATCCTGGATAATTTGTAACACACATGGTGACGTTGGTTGATGTATAAGATGAATCGTCGGTTTCCTCAACTTTGTTAATTTCATGAACAAGACTATGCAAAGACGCTCTATTTTCACTGAATTGGTTAGCCAATAATTTATTCGAGTAGAAATGTAGAGAGAAGAAAGGAAATTGTCCTGCACGAAAAGAGATTCAAACGGATTATAATTGAAAAGTGTTCGATTACTGTCAAGAATAATTTGAATAAATTTTAGAACAATAAATAAGAGGATACACTGGTTGAGAATAGAAATGAGAAGATAATTACACGCATCCAATTTACGTGGTATTGGATAAATAAAATTAAGAAAACTGTAGAATTTTCATTATTGGCAGTAGATAGCCGAAGTTTAAGTAAGAAACAACATCATGAGAAATTATTCATTTTTTAAGTCAAAACAAACGAAGAAAATAACAACAATAAATACAATTAGAACTTTTTTATTACAAAAATCAGCCATTTCTGATAATGTTCATAGAAAGGAACGAAAGATTGAATTAAATTATTTGTCATTGACTAATTCAGTATAATGCCATTTGCAGCAGTTATTCTGTTCTTACTTAAAAAGATTTCAGCAGTTATGAGTAGTTTTCCTTTTGAAACAGGTTTCATATATAAAACCGATCATAACTTCAAGGATTCAAACTTAATCGATCAATTGATGATTACATTGATTGAAATGCTATTGCTTTATTAGATTCATCAATAAGAATTTGAATCCGATATCAATCTGCAGATTAATTCGAGTTTTAACGCAAGTTACCCACTGATTACCCTACACCCTCAAGATTCATCTAGACTATGAGTAATCTTAGTTCAGACGCTCATATATCTAGGTAAATGCGTGTTAATCAAGATAACTATACTAACAATGATACAATTGTTTGAAGTTGATTATGTAGAATAAATTGTCTTGTTCCATCAAGCAAAATCATTCATGTGTAGCTATATGGAAAACTTTATTAATGATCCATCAAATAAAGTAGTTAATTTGTAATATGTATTTGAGAGATTCTTTAGTATTAGCATGATGGACATGGTGATATACAAAATATTATTCTATTCACAACTAGTGTTGCTAAAGTAGTTTTGAAGTTTTGGTTTTTGAAAAAAATTGATTCTATGTTAATCTTTAGAAAAGACACTCAAGTTGAAAAAGTTATTTACCCTAGATGTATCTACAATTGATTGAATTAATCATTTTGAAAAGAAACAATCAATGAATATAATAAGAATTTTGACTTAATTTTAAGCTCTAGCTAAAATATGAAGATATTTGTAATACAATTAGAAATGTTTGCAATAAAAATGCATTAAAAAAAAATCTTTCGAATTATACTAATGAATAAGTTATTCCATCAAATTTTATGGTTAAATCATATACATCAATATTTGATACCAAAGAAGAAATTTTACTTAGATATAATTTTGTTAAATGAAAAAATTTCTTTTCTTTTTGTGATTTATGTATATTTATAAATTTATAACTATGGCAATGAATATGATTATAATCATCATTTTGTTAAACTTATAAAACAAATGGTTAAAAATAATAGTGAAAACAAATAGGAAATAACAAGATCATTCATATGATGCAAAAAAATCAATGAAAACAAACTTTATTATTCTAAGCAGATTTTTAAAATCAAAATGATCGAATATTGAAAATAATCTATTATAAGTTTATTCAACATCATAATCTGTTTTGCCTTGTTGTACAGTGTGTGTAAATTTTTGAACGACATCATCTGGTACTTTAGTTTTTCTAACAGCATCATTTTCTTGCATTTCTTTACACCAATTAGCAAGTTTAGGTAATTTTCCATCAGCATTTAAGACAAAACCAGTTTCTTTTAATGCTGGAAAACGTTCAAACCATGGCCATAACATATAATCAACCATTGCTGGTTTTGATCCACCAAAAAATTTATCTTGAAGTGCTTCTTCATAAAAAGTTAAACTTTGTTTTAAATCTTCAACAGCATTCTGTTCCTTGCTTCTAAATAGTTTATAAAAAGCTGATCGAACCTAATAAAACAAGACAAACATTTGTTTATATTGAAGAGAATTTTATTTACATTTCCATGTCTGTCAATGAGTACTTGTTGTTTAGCTTTGAGATAAGGATCAACAGAATGAAGACGATGTTCTGGATATAAATCATCAAGATAATTACTTATAATAAGTGATTCAGGTATTGATCGAATCTCTTTAGAATCACGATCGATCCATTCTAGTAAAGGAACTTCACCGACTGGATTTTTTTTTAAATACCATTCAGGTTCATCGTTAAGATTGATAAATATTTCTTCATATCTAGAGTAATTTTCAAAATATTAAAGAAAAAAAAAAGTAATTATCCTATAAACTTACGGAATATTTTTAGCAGCTAAAACAAGTTTAACTCGTCGAACAAATGGACAAAAACGCATACTATATAATCGTAATTGATTTTCTTTTAATGGTGGACATTCAGAACCTATTTTATTTTATTTATAGGACAAGAAAAAATCATTAAAAATCTTTTGAATTCCTACCTGATTTGAGATGTTTCTGACTAGTTGTCATTATGAATAAAATATTAAATATTATTCAATGATCAAACAGTAACAAAAAATGAATACTGAGTGAAAAAAGGCAAATGTTATCCTATTTTATATTGGCCACATAAATTGTGCATCATCATCATGATCCACACTGCAAGTTTTTTTTTCTTTCCTTGCTGAGCAAATAAACAATTGAAGAACGTGTTCTCTGAGCAAATATAAATCATGATGACTCGAGTTATTTTTTTTTTTTGTTGTTGTTGAAGATAAGAAACAGATCATCAATATATATTATTATGTAATGCCTTTAGAATTATGATATTGATTTCTATAAATTCGAATTAAATCAAACTGTTAATATTCCCAGATGGAAAATCTTACAAAGATTTTATGAAATTGTGCATGATTCTTACTATAAGATTCTTGCAAAGTCTCATGATCGAAATTTTGTAAGATCTGATACGACCGGATAAGATCATAATTTTAGGTTTCATTAGTTGAATGCGAGAATGATGAGTTTTAAAACCATTTTAGAACTTTTGGGATACTTCTCTTATAAAAAGTTGTTGCCGACGGAATGGTTTTCGAGAAGTTCTTCGAAAATCTCTTCTGTCACTGTGCTACATTATCAAAGTTAGATGGAATCCATCAGATTCACCACGATTCTGACTGTTGGACTTGTAGACACTCAAATCGAGTGCAGATTCATCCAATTTTACAATCTTCCTAAAAAAGAAGCTGCCATTACCGAGATAGTATTTTTGAAACATTCTCTTAGTTATTTAAACAGCTTGACTAAGAAATATTTACAGTTGGTCGACGTATGATAAAAAACTTTGTGAATAGAAGTGATTGTAATATTGTCAGAATTGAATTTGAATAGAAAATTTAATTTTTTTAAGAAGATTTTATATATTCTCTCTAAAGGAGAAAATATCTTTTATATTCAATTAAAGAATAAAATTTATTTAGAAAAAAAAATTCAATACTTAGACGAAAACATATTAAATTACTTTTCATTGTTTTGTCTAATAAAAATATTAAGAATTCAGTGAATTTCCACGCATAAATACAAGTCCTGTTTCTTTTTCTATACGTTTTTGTCGTTTGTTTGAAGCTGATAATGATTTTTTAGTTTTTTGTTCAAATATTCCACTTGGTGGTCTTTGCTAAATAAATATTTTGTATAATTATAATAAATATAAAATAAAAATCTTACTTGTAAATGTCGCATTTTATCTTCATATGTTCGTAAAGCAGCAACAAGACGAACAATTTCATTTCGACATTCATCTAATTCTGATTCACGTTTTTCTCTTTTAAGTCTTTCAAATTCTAATTGATTTTCAAGTTCTTCAATTTTTCTAAAATAAAATATTATTTTATTTTTTATAAGAAAATTAATCATTTATGAAAATAATACTTTTGTGAAATTTGTTCCATTGTTTCATGTTTTTGATCATCATCTAGTTGTCCACCTAATTGTCGATAATTTTTTTTTGCTATATCAACTTGTTTTTCTAATTGATCAAGTTTAGTTTTTGCACGTAAACGTTCTTCTTCTTTAGGTGTTAATTTTCTTCGATGATCTTGTTTTGTTGATTCATTTTGATGACGTTTTTGATTTGTTTCAGTTTTATCAGCATCACCACCTAAGATTTTTAAACATGCTAATTGACCAAAACGTCTTGCTACATCTTTTGGTGTTTCACCACTTTGAGTTGTTAATTCCATTGATGCACCCATTTCAATTAACCATTGAAGAATTTTTAAATGTCCTTGACCAGCTGCTTTATGTGCTAATGTAGCACCACGTTCATCACGTTCATTTATATTAACAACACCTTGTTCAATTAATAATTTAACATGTTCAAAATCTCCATTATATGCAGCTACATGTGCAGGAAAAGCAAGATCTAAAATAGAATTTTTTTTGTTTTTTTTTGTTTTTTTGTTGTAAGATAAATTTTATTTTACTTTCGGCTTGTTCTGGATGATCTTGTTCCCATTCAAGTGCATCCAAATATGTACAACAATCTTCTTTAAAAAATTGTTCAGCTAAAGATTTAGGTGT